ACAAAGTAGATAATGCTTTGTTGCCCTAGAAAATTCTCAAAACTATAATCGAGGATAGAACAATATACAAACTGTAGAGATAAAGTCACAAAAGACTTATCTTTGAGTATCCGAATACACATTTAGATTACTGTACACCAAGAACACTACAACCCAATCTATACTCCTCCTGATTCGAACTGATCAAAGAACACTTAGTTCTTGTTCGTATTACACTAAATAATAAACCAAAAAAGGATAAAGATTAGAATCTCGAATGAGGATTTCAAGATAGAAGATGAAGAAGAACACAGAGACTGAAGTGGTTTTCTCTCAATAGTCACACCCACAAATAATTCACACCGAAGCTAAATGAGATTATTGAAGCCTCAGAAGTGCCCACCTATCACAATCCTATGAAGCCCCTCCACTGAATGAGTTAATTTTTGTAGCGACAACATCCTCACCTTGCTACCAAGAATTGAGGTTCTTAGTACAACAAGAACATCACCAGCACCCTTTCGTATCATTTGTATCTACAATCAAATAGAACCAATAGATAACATCTTTAGGTAATTGTTAAACTTATTTAAAGGTGTTACTTTTGTTTCAATATCAGATGGAATAAATTGAGTTGCTATTTTATTAATTCTAAGAATTCATTTTTATGAATTATCTCTTTAATGAAATTATACATAATATCAATATGTTTAGTTGTTTCACGAAAAATATGATTCTTACTTAAATGAATAGCGCTTCCATTACTAGAACATAAGATGGCATTCTTATCATTAAATTCAAACTCATTCAATAAATCGCTTAACCAAATTTCTTCATTAATTGCATCAATTGCAGCGATATATTCAACTTCTATCGGGGATATAGCAAAAATCTTTTATAGCTAACATTTCCAATTTATCATAGTACCACAAAAAAAAAAAAGAAAGAAACATATGTAGATCTCCTATTGTCCATATTCCCAATAAAATCAAATTTTGTATATCTCATTAAAGCTACCCTTTATTCTTTTCAAACACTAATCCCAACTTTGTAGATTCTTTTAAGTATTTATGTGAACATTTTGGAAGCTTTCCAATGTTATTCACCATTCCCCATAAATAAGCTAGTTACACTAATGTTATGAGCTAAGTAAGCTCTAATACAAATCATCAAATACTTCACAGAATTAATAGCATTTGCATAAGGTGCATTTGACATTCATTTTTATTTTTGGACAAAAAGCATATGACAGTTTCAAATGGTTTTCAAAAGGTAAAGGAATAGATCTACAATCAAATGTGCTAAACTTCTTAAGCATTTTATTCACATAACTTTGTCAATTTATGTATAACAAGTCATTATCCTTTTCTCTATAAATTTGCATTTTTAATAATTTCTTGGCAGATATAATATCTTTCATTTCAAATTAAGATTTTAATTTGTATTTTATATCTTGAATTTCATCCTTGTTATTACTAGCTAACATTATATCATCAACATATAACAATAAATAATGTGAATTAATACCTCCATAACCTTTGCAGTAAAGACAAGTATATTTGAACTTGCTTCTTTGAAAATTAAACGGTAGAGTTAAATCTTTTATACCATTGCCTTTGTGTCTGTTTTAAACCATATAAAGATTTCTTTAACAGACAAAAAAGATTATCTTGATTACCTTTCATAAAATCTAAAAGTTGTTTCATATAAATTTGTTCATCTAACTCACCATGGAAAAAAGCAATTTTTACATCCAACTAATCAAGTTCTCCGCTGAATTGAGTAAAAAGAGCTAAAATAGCTCTTATATTGTTATATTTTACAATAGGAGAAAAGATTTTATTATAAAAAAAGGTTGAACCCCAACCTTAAGGGCCCCCACCGACCCTGCCCTGGGCCATCGTGGAGGAGGTAAATCGCAGGATGTGCCTCCCAGGAGCTAGGGTGGAGAGCACATGGATAGGCCAAGGCTGTTAACCCATATGGTAACTCCCGCTTGCAACAAAGTCAATTCCACCTTGCGGGGAATCGAACTCTGCACACTGCCGCGCTGAGTCCTATCCGCCCTCCCCTTTGCCACTGGGAGATATGCCCTGGGGGCAGAAAAGATTTTATTATAGTTAATACCCTCCTTTGTGTAAGTCATTTAGCTACCAATCTAGCATTATATCATGCTTTATCTAAACCTTATTCTCCTTCATTTACAGTCTACAAGTTCTTTAAGTTTATTAACTAATACCAAAGTATTATTTTTAAGAAATGAACTCGCTTCATCTTCCATAGAAGCTAACCATTTAGCTTAATATTGTTCCCCAGGGCATATTTCAGTCGTGCAAAGGATAAGGGTGAGGTATTTTTAGTCTTGCTGGAAGCCGCAGTGTGAGGGTTCGATTCCTGAAACATGGATTGAGATTCTTTGTGAACATTAGTGTACAAGCAGCTCTTGTTCCCTGACCTGCTGGGACACATCCCACGATTAACTTCTCTCACGATGTTCTAGGGACGGGACGGTGGGGGACTCTTAAGGTTGGGGTTCAACCTTTTTTTAACCATTTAGCTTAATATTTATCATTAATATCCTCGTCATAGGAGTTTGGTTCATTTTTAGTTACATCTTGAAAAGTGAGTATGAAACAAAAGCTTTACTTTCGAACTTGGCAGGTAAATTTGATCTTCCTTCTCTAACTAAATGCATGTTTGGTATTGATTTTTCACCCAAAAAAATCAATTTTTTTTATTGTTATTTCAATATTTCAACCGTTATTTTTAACTTCTTCTCTCACAGATAATACCCATTTTTCTCTCTAATAGTCAAAAAATCAATTCTCAAAATCAATATTGAACAAGCCCTAACTCTTGTGAGTTGATACTCAGCAAGGGGCGAAGTTGCATGAACATTTGAATTTTCATATGTTCGACCTTAGTACCTATTAGAGGAGCAATATCAATTTGATTTATTTCATCTCTCCTTGCCAGCAAATCATTATCTTCGACATGAGGTATCTCTATCATTTTATTAAACTTTCAATAATATTTCAATTAAGCCAATGAATATCCATTGCTTGTCACCTTCATCTTCCAAACTAACCGAAGTTGTTTAGTCCATACTCATATTTTAAATGGCATTCCACATAATCGCTACGTGGTACCTTAAAAAAAAAAAAAAAAAAAAAAGGGAATACGATGTCAATGATATTTATTTTTTTAAAGTAAAAGGTGAAAAGATGTCTTATAACACTTTTATGTAACATGACAATTATGTAATGTTCATTGATTGGGGAAGTTTTAAAATTAAAATGAAGGGGGAAGCTTGCACTTTTCGTTTTCAATCTTTGCAAATTGTTATTAATCTACCATCGACCTTTTCTTTTAGCATCAAATATTCTCGACCTTTCATTTAATTACAAATCATGTCCCCATCTATCTTTTCCATTATAATTCGCTTAAAATGACAAATTTATCGTTACTTTTAAATAAACAAAATAAAAGACAAAGCATGAAATCTGGGAATGTGATTTTCATTTCAGTGAAGCATTTGCAGAAGAGCAATTTTCTCTTAGGCTATGCAATTTATACTTCAAATTTTATGGGTTTCGTAGTATTTGTCGTTTTTTCTTCCCCATAGTGTTATTTAGCCATTATTTGACAACTATTATTTGAAAAACTTTTTTATATATACTTATTTTCAATAACAAATTCACACAATAATAATTATGCATGTAAATTCAAAATTTTTTCATACCTTTTAACAATGCATTTCCTAAAAAAGTACTATTTAAAGGTTAATAATCAGCAACTAAATAAAGTGAAAAGGAGGTAGTATTTTTCTTGTTAAAGTGACAAATGGTCGGTATATTGAGAATGACTTCCATTTTAACTTTATATGGAGTCTTTGGATAAGGACCTTAGTGAGCTTACTCAGTCTTCTTCTTTTTTTCCTTTTTTTTTTTTTTTTCATTTATTTATTTATTTATTTTGCACAATTGATAATTCTCATTTTTGTTGCTTCTACACTAATCATGGGGTGATAAGTTGGGGAATATTTATTGGCCTACAGTTTTTGGGTACATAATTTATTTATTATTATTATCGTTGTTGTTGAATCATTTCTATAATTATATCATTGATTGAAACTTATCTTTTGTACGATAATGATGGTTTGCGACTGGCCAGTGAGTTGTAGGGGAGGCCTGCAAAGGCCCTTGTGACACGATTGAGGGGGTGACTGAGGTGTCACTGTACGTGCCCCTATTTGAATGAATTAAGCCAAACGAACATAGGTTTTGATACAATGGGTGACATAACAGTCACAACCTAGGTGTGGGTCCCATTAATAAAATAATCTCGACCTCCTCCATGTGTGTGTGCTATGTCAATCGAAGTGTCATCCTCTATGGTTATGTAGCACGGTCCTATTTGAATAGCATAACACGTTGTAGTGTGGGTGACTTGATTGGGTATGGGTCCTTGAGAAAGAAGATGGTCTATTGGTAATTTTTGAAAAAAATTTGGGACTTTTTATTGCAATTTTTCCTTTATTTTTCATTTGACCCATGTATTTTTTCAAAAAAACTTAATATTTCAAAACTCTTTTTCAACTATACATTTCTCATAAAATAATTTCACACAAATTGGAAACTATTCTTTATTTTTTAACAAAGCGTTCTTAAAAAAATCACTATTCACAAATAAGAAAATGGGACTCAAACATATTTATCATTTTAAGCATATTTTAATTAAAAATGGACATAGTGACGATTAAGTGAAATTTTGGAATGTCTGATGCTAAAAAAAGATCGAGGATAGATTAACAATAATTTACAAAGATTGAGGACAGAGAATGAGATTTTTTTTTTCAAATAAAATTGGTTCAATTTTCAATTGCACGAAAATGATTTTTTAAGTATCGATACTTATCTTATGTTAACTAACGGTGACATGACATATTATTTAATTGAGAAATAAGTTAACGATAGTAACCATAAATTTAATGATCGACCAATTAAATATTCCGTTCATTTGCATTTACCGTCGGTTAGTCTTCCTCCACTTTTGAAGTCTCCGCGTTTTCTTAGCTCTGAAGCTGTTCTTCTCTCTCCTACCTCTGCTTTGCCTCACAGTGGATTCGTGGAATTCCTTCCATACTCAAATATTTACAGAACTTAAGAAAATATCTTTAGCACTAGCATGGGCTCGATCAATTTTGTCATTATCTTTTGTCAATTCTTCAATGTCCTTGCTTGGCAAGTTGCACTACTTCCATCTTTTGCTCCTCAAATTATGTTCTTGATCATAATAAAAGGTTTTCACCGTTTTTGTTTTTCACTCTTTTGTTCTTAAATTTTGCAGGCCATCAATTCCTCTGATGTTTCCCCTGTAAGTACACCATTGGAATTCTACATTTGATGGGTTTGTAAGATGGTTGCTATTCATTTTGACTGTTGGAATTGAAATATGTTTAAACAGGTATGCTTCGATTCGAGCAATAAAATGTGATCAAGAATCAGTCTATCAGCAATGCCTCAAATATTGGGTATTGTTTTCCATGGCCACAATCTTTGAATGCGCACTTTCAAAGCTTCTTGTATGGTAAAATTCCTTTTTACACTATTTTTTTTTTTTTTTTCTAAATTTGGTTACTTTTGATTAAAAATCTGAGAAGATTTTTTAGATGCTTTTCTTTAATGATGAACTTGCAAGATTTAGAAGAAAAGCTAAAAAGGAATTAATATAAAAATAATATCATAGATGTTGAGATGATAAATTTCTACCTCTTCAAAGCCTAATAGTACTAAATTAAACAGTATCCTTGACTAGTGCTATTAGAGGACTCATATCATTGTGTCTGCACACCCGAATTGCAGCAGAGATTCTCCATTTTATTTATTTATTTATTTTTTTTTTCTGGCTTTTCATGGGGGAGTTTAGTTTTTGATTGTTTTCTTTACATCTAACTTGATCTAAATATTTTGTACATGAATTTTGAATTAACTATATTTCCCACTCTTCAAGTGTGCCAAATAACTAGTGTTGCTTTTTTTCTTTTGGCTTCTGAACAGCAAAGTGGAATCAAGAGGTAATAGTGCCTTTAACATGGCACATTCCTGTGATTATTCTTGGAATACATTGAAACTTTAAGTTTTCCAATTAAGCTGACTCCAGTTTATTGTAAATAAGACTCAGTTTGTTGTTGTATGTTCCTAAGAAAGATTTTCAGTCTAATGTTTCTCTTTCTTTCTTTCATTTATACAAATATGGACACGATAAGATGGCATGGAAATCTTTAAAGTTCCATGATCTTTGTACATTATAGAAGTGTTTTCTGATGTTAGTGAATCTTGAACTTCATTCATTAGTTCTACTAGTCTTCGGGTGGTTGATAAGTGGAATAAAATTTTTGTTACACAAATAAAAATTGAAAACTCGAAAGTTTGTAAGCAATTAGTGTGATTGCCTTGAAATTGATTTGTTGAAAAAGTATACAAAAGCCTTTATTTATGTAGGGAAATAACATCCAAATCCTAATAGCTTTTAAAACCTAAAAGAATAAGTAATCAAAAACCTAAAAAAATAGAAACTCCTAATAAAATAAAATCCTACTACGACAATAAATAATCTATATCATATTTGTAATAGGATTATCCTACATCACAATCAACCATTTATTTCCTTAAGATTAAGAGGTAGATATGATTCACCATTATTCCACTATTGAGTCCTTACATTTCAGGCTCTATGTTTGGCCCTATATAAAAGGAGTAGCCACCGTCTTGCTCATAGTTCCTTCATTTGCTGGTGCTTCTTATGTCTACACACGCTTTGTTCATATAGCTGAGGATTCATGTTTCCGGGATATGCTGCTCATTCCAGAATCAATCACAATTGAGCAGAATGAATTTTCTGATCAAGCAAGTAGTCATATAAGTGAGAATGGAGAAGAAGAATCAGAAAACTGTGTGTCTTATGAGGTAAATTTTAATCTGAGAATGTTTTGATGTCTCAAGATGAGCTCGTTTCAGAAAATGAATCCACCATGAGTATTCATTTAGGTCATGCAGTAATGCAGTTGGCTAATATCTTAACTTCTGTACTTCTATTTTGTGCTTTTAGCTATCTGGAATGGCAGCAAAATTAAGAAACGAACCTGGGACGGTAAGTAATGAGGTATCATATATATGATCACCATTTGGTAATGTCAGCATTCATGAGCGGTTTGTGAGAATAATCTTATATTTGTTTCAGGTTGGGACAATAGATACCGACCATACAATGATAGGTGTTTTGTTGCAACCGGGATGTCTGAAGAAAGTCCAGAGGGAGTGGAGCTGTCCCCTTTGTCTGATAATCACTACCAGCGCGAAAGATTTGAGGATGCACATTCGAGGAAAGAAGCACAAGTTGAAGAAAATGGAAGATAAACAGAAAAATGCTGCCGCCACTAAAGAAACAACTATTTCTTTAACTAAGAAGAAAGCCAATTTCCTCACACGCTTCAATTTTCATAATATGAGTGGTTTTGCAGCCCTAGTTAAACGATCAAACAGATGGTCAGTGTGGATAAAACCCGACTTTGGATGGACCAAGTTGAATACAGATGGATCTATTGACAAAGAAAATGCTGGTTTTGGTGGTTTGTTCCGTGACTATCGGGGTAATGCTGTATGTGCATATGTCTCGAAATATCCAGGAGATGATATTTTCTTGGCTGAACTACGGGCTATCTGGAGAGGCCTTATAGTTGCATTAGGTCTGGGAATCAAGGTAATATGGGTTGAATCTGATTCCATGAGTGTTGTCAAAACTATCAACAAGGAACAGCCATATGGTCCAAAGGCTAGTAGCTGCTTGAAGCACACTTGGAAACTTTTGAAGAAGTTTGACAAAAGTCGCGTTTCTCATTCCTGGCGTGAAACAAATAGAGCTGCTGATTATCTAGCTAAGATGGATCTTTCAGGAAGTGATGTTGTTCTATGGCCAGGTGATTTTCCCTGTGGACTTTCGAGAATTATCGAGGAAGATGCTCTAGGGACGAAGTACTACAGAAGATAACTCCAAAAACTAACCCTTACCTTGATAACTGTGTACATGAAAAGTTAATTAGCTCACATCACTATGAATGAGATACGAGCCAGGAATCAACTTATTCAAATGTGCATGAGGGGCCTTATTCGAACTGGCTGAGTACCACAATCACATGAATGTGTTTTTAGAGTTTCCTTTTTTCAGCAGCCTCTTGCCTTGTTGGTTAGATTGTCCCTCCGGTTTCTAATTTGTTGACCTACTTTGAAAACTTGTAGTTGTATCCACAATCTGGCAGAAAGGCATATTTTATGAATTGTGTTAGCGTGTAATTAAACTACCGAGTCTTAAACACCTTTTCGTTTAAGATAGTTTAAATTCTTGTGAAATCTGAATCCAAACACTTGTCGAATTTATTTAAGCAAAAAACAGTTTGATTTCTTCCATTGCAAATATTTTTTCATAGTAGAGCAGTGACCATTATTACACCAAGAAAAGATGAGATTTCTCTTTTCTCTTCTATTCTTTTCTTTCCTCGTCTGGCCCTGGATGAAGATCATCAAGTGGATAGTTCCCTCTAGCTTATTCCAGATGACTGCTGCTAAAGCTTCTTTTGACACTTGCAAGAGCTTTTGATCACCAAGGCTCGGCATTATTCTGTTCTTTGCTTTTGTATCTTGGTTTTCTAGAGAATAAAGCCATTCTTGCCATTGAAGTTTTCTGTCTCTTAAGACACTGTCACCATGAATTTGATCCTAACCTGTAAGAATCCTCCAGGATTTTTAAGCCTTGTGAACTAAAATAGCTCTGGTCACCAAGGTCAATTGGGGAAGGAGCACATGGCAAACAGCCAATCCAGCGTGTAATGGGAAAATTAAAAGCAAACAAAGAGGTAACTATGTGGGCACCTGGCTTCACAAAATTAAAACCCCAAGAGATTTCAGGTGAACTGGGTGATCGTCTAGCACAAAATTTTCTAATATCGTTTTGACTAGTTTTACACCTTTTTGGCTTGTTTTTGGCACATTTTCGTACATGACGATTGATGTATTATACATAGGGCTGATTTTCATGTTGGCAAACATCAAATCAATTCACTTGCATACAAACCAAAGATCAAATCATTCTTCTCACATTATTCATTAAGTTCTCATTCCCCTCCAGTAATAATCAGCGAGGACTACACCCTATTTGTGAACATAAAGAAACAATTTCACTTAAAATAACCGCAAGAGATCCTAATCTCAACACATCTATTCTTTTTAAATGTGATTATCCATGAAATCAAATTATACTTTATATCCACTCTTCTTTCTGGTAAAAATTAATTTGGGCAACTGAAATTCAGAAAGCCCAACAAATGTGCATCCGAAAAACCACGACTGGATCGGCAGCATGCAAATTCGGAAAATTAAACCAAGAAAAACTTGGACACGAAGCGATGGATGGAATAGAAAAAATCTGTCAGAAAATTCAACAGCAAATATTGGACTGTACAGATTATCGACATTCAGATACTAAAACAACGTTAAGAATTCTCTTATAAATACTACTGTTACTTTCCTGACAAGATTTTATCTATACAAACTAGTTCTTGTCTCAACCGAATCCAAATCCTTCGTTGCCTTCGTGAATAGCAACGAGAAGCCTCTCCTCCAGATGTTGTTCAGAAGGATATTCTGGAAGATCTAACTGATTGAAACTGGAAGCAGCAAGTTAAAATCTGTTAGGTTTTGCCCAATAGAAACCACCAATGCAATCCCAGCTTAAGAACTTGTTTGACTAAGCTTAACTCGTAAGTAAATAAGCAGGGTAGGTGCATAAAACATTTTGCACAGGTCAGGACTTGAAAATAAGAAAACTTCTTGACCGGAAGGTAAGATTTACTTTTTTTAGCCAAACATGCTCTCAACTAATAAGCGAGGGAAGATTACCATGTATGAGCTGAAGGCAAGTGATCCGCACTGACGTATGCCTTGTGAATCTGAAATTTTTGACATCCTGAAATGCCTTGAAGAGCACTAAATCCTTCTAAAGGCACCTGTGGGGTATGATAAGAATATTTTTCTCAATATCATCGCACGACAAACTAAAACTTATTGAAAATAAATATAAAGTGGCTTTTCTCAATATCTTAAAAAATGTAACAATGTGTCTACAATGTGTGAGACGCCTGTACTAAGGCACCATTATGTGTTAAGAACAAGAAAATAATTTCAGGTGGCATGTCAGATTTAAAAAAAGAGGCAAAAAAGCATCACAAGAAATTTTGATCCAACTCCAACATGAAAAAATCAACAGAATTTGCAATCGGTATTGGGCCACAAAAGGCAACCAATAATATTTTTCGAGTGAAGGAACAATCTTATAGGTAGAGCCAAGTGTAGTTTACCCAATTTGACATGAAGGGACAATCTCATTGCGTGCTACCTACTACAAACATTAAATGTTCCAAACCACTCTAAATTACTATTGATTCTCATGACGGGGACTTTGGGACGGTGAAGGTGACCTAACATTATGAAAACATAAATGAGTATTTGGCACTGAAAAAAGGGCGAATGACAACAGAGAGGTTAACATACCTTTGAGGTGCCAGTCACAAATTGTAAGAGGCGAGCCTTGTCTTCTTTGCTGAATCCTTGAACAACCTCCCAGAACCACTGAATGACAGGAGCAGCAGCAGTATACCCAGAGTACTCCGTATTCGCCCTCAGGTCATCCACTGAAAGACATTTTTTATTCTATTAGTTAACTCTAATAAGCACAAAAAGATTTGTAGAAAGATCAAATAATTGCAGATTAACAGGCTAACAACGAAGCAAAATTGGTAGAAAACTCACGATCAATATCTGGCAGCCCACTTATGAGGAGTTCCAGTTCCTTGTCATTGAAAATAGATATCAAATCGCGAGGAATTAATTCGTTGAATCCTTCCAAAAATGCATTTATCTGAGGACGAATAGCAGTTGTCAACCGATGCTCAGCAACTAAATCAACATACTGGTGCTTGTTTTCCTCAGTTACTCGGATATTTCGACCACCAGGGATCAGTTCATAGTCAGTCACCTACATAACGCAAAACACAAATTGGTGAAACGATCATAGAAAAAACATCAAGGTATACCGTAATGCAAAAAATACGTACTTCGGTACGTTCATAGAGTATCAGCTTCTCCTCGTCAGCATCAATGCTGAATGTTAGGCCTAAAATGTCGCTTATCTCATTCTGCAATAAGTTTTAAAAAAAAAGGATTAATAATCAATATCATGTGAAAGAAGAAGGTTTGCACCTAGCATAAGAGAAAAGGGGGGGTTGCGATTTCAAATATAACCAACCTCAAGCATCCATTTCAAATTTTTAAAGTAATCAGGATCAATAGCTTCAATATCATGATATGTCACTTTAACCCCAAGAATATGCTTGTAAAAAGACCGAGTGAAATGAACATCAAGAAGTTGTCCATCAAGGAGTGCCTTTCCAACCTGGGAAATATTCGTATACATTAAGACAAATCATCATATACAGTTCAATAGAACAACCAGATAATGGAAATTACTCACAACTCGACCAACAAATTTGAAGTATGAGAGGTGCTCAGTTTGATAAACGGAGTTGGGGTTTGGCTGAAATGTCGATTCATTCCCAACTGTTGTGAATAGTAGCGCCATCTTGTCAAAAATTACCCTCGACAGCAGCTGATACCATTCCCTGGTAAGTCCACCAGCATCAATTCCTTCCTCCCCTTGGAAATTAACAGTCAACCTTCCCTTCAAATCCTGTGCTGACCTCATCCGAAGTTGATTATACGAATCTTCAAGAATGTAAGCTCTTCTCACAGATATTCTTAGAGGGCTGTGATGATGATCATACTGATGCTTGATCTTGGATCTAAAGTGAGCCCTTTTGTTGTCGAAATCAATGAAGCGAGGAACTTTCAGCATGAGTGAAAAAGACTTCTCAAGTAACCCTGGGTTTTGACGGATAAAAGCATTAAGAAGCTTCCTGTGCTTCTCTGAGAACCTTATGAAAGCAACATTTTTCTCTTCAACTTTCATAACAGGACCTGAAGTCTTCCGAGGACTAGCAGATGCAGCAGCCTCTTCAACATCAGAAACTGCAGCTATACCGAAATCGTGTCCTGACACTGACTTACCAGGATGCAACTTCTCACACGTTATGAAGAAGGACTCAATGTATGGTAAGATATTCTGAGTACCCGCAGGAAGTTGAGGCATCACTCCAGGCCGTTTAGAAGTAACTGTAACAGATGTTGAAGGTGACTGCTCAGAAAATGTATCTGAATGGCTCTCTATTTTGCTTATGCAGTTGCTCAGCTCTTGCCACAATGGTTCTAGAGTCATATTAATGTCCCACACCACAGAGATAGCACCAGGTTGCTCCTTATCAGGGAGAATCTGGTGATTTTTATCTCCGTCATTGAGTACAACGACAAGAGAGCTCAAGGCTTGCAACACCCTGAACACTGGAGGTCCATGAGTAGTAGTACTAGTCAGGAGTGCTTTATCTACTTCCCCAAATATGTGCAACTCTTCAGTCGCAAACTTGGTGAGGCTCTGAACTGAACCAGAAAGCTCAGTTATGAATAGATGACAATGAACAGGTGCGATAGACACCAGTTTTCTTAGTACCTCCGCCACAAGAGTATAAGCATTATCTGATAGACTGGAGAAACAAGGACATTCAGAAATCAATACCAATACAATAGAACGTGAGAAATAATCATAACAATCCCACACAATTACCAAGGAAAATGATAAATGCAATATTAAGATATTCATCATTCATCACTCTACCACGAGCACTCCAGTTTCCTAGTCAAAATTCAGTAAGTAATAGTATTTAGGCGAACACAGGCAAGTAGTGTACAACTAGAACAATCACTTAAAATGCACCAAGGCACAAAACTATAAATGCCTACTATAATTCCTTTCAAAAGAACCATCCATGCTCATTTTATTGCCTCTATACATATTAACCCCCCACAAAACCCTACACAGATAAAAACACACATAATTGAGCGTAGCATCCAGAAATCTTAGCAAATCGCATTCTACAAAGTTCATAGTAACATTTAAATATATATCATATTACGACCCAATGAATCACAGCAAGTCCTGCACGAACACAACTAGCCATTAAAAATTTCCGGCATTACTATTCAATGTAATGTAATAAAAGGAAAGCATAGATGTTACATATTACCCTTCATGTGCAAGAAGTGAGCATAGAAGTCGGAGTTCTGTTAGCGGCAGATGAAGCAATACACTTCGAGTGTCATGCTCTCTATCTGCACCAGATACCAACACTTTATTGGCAACATCACCCTCCGCCAAAGTAGCTCCAGAACCACTACTCGCCACAGCATCTGGCGTGGAAGTCGGAGGACCTGACATCTGTTCTGTTGCAGATGCCCCTGGGTCA